CGATACACCGAAAAATACGGTGACAGTCATGAATCTTCCTAATTAAATGTGGTTTCACACAATAATGGTAGTGAAATTACATTCATAAGTAGTTAATACATGCTATTTTAAGCTGGTATTTATATCAATTGTAAGTATTCCAACTACAACTGAGTCTTTTAATTTAAATACAACAAGCTATTTAAGCAAAAAAAAAAAAGAATTGGCAAGTACATCAGCTGGCAACCTTTAGTTTAAAAACTATATCACAAAATACCTAAAGAGAACCACTGCACAAAAATCTTTAAAAACAGCAACAAAATGATGATCAAATTATCTGTTTTTAAAATCACTGATATACGTAATTCCAGTATTTAAAAAAGAAATAATGCACAAACAACTCTTTATTTAGTATGAACATATTTTGTGCTTTAACATTAAATTTAAGAAATGAAAATATTATTAAATTTGAGGTACTAGTGAGTGAATTTGTTTGACTGTGAAAATACAAAAGGTTTATTTGTGGTACAAAAATTAATTCTTATTATCTTGCAAGTTCATTTTGGAATGAAATAAGTTACCATTTGTATTCAGAGCAAAGTTGCTAAGGCTGTCTGCCACCTACTGACTAGAGATAGCAGCCAGTCAGAAGTACCATACTACCCACCATTCATGACTATCACTCTTATAACACACTCACAGCTTAAAGTGTAAGGAATATTTTGTGGTACTGCACAGATTCGAACCTGGCTCGCCAACTCTCAAATCCAGAGCTCTACCACAGGGCCAACCAGTGGCCAAAATAAATTATTGATTTTACACTGCAACTATCCATATAGATTTAACAAAATATACCAATGAAGTAACATTATTAAACCAGATGAGCTAAAAGCTCTTGGGTTAATTTTATAGTTAAACAAAGGGTAAAATTGTATTGCATTTTATATTGTATTCTAGTTTCATTATTAAAATAAAAAATTGCTACAATAAAAAAAAAGCAATTTATTAAAGAATAATAAAAACAAAACCTCTTTTAGTCTTCCAACAGCAAATATGATTAAAGAATGTGAAATTGAAGAAAGTCTCTAAGAACACTATATGAGCCTCAACACAGTAGTGAGTGAGTACAGTTTGTTTGTGTCTGGGAAGGCAAAGCTGAATACAATCAGTATCACTATTAACAGGCAAACTTAATAGTCTTGAAGTTTTATCAATTTTGAGTGAAATTACCATCTAGAAAGAGCTATGTTTGTTAAACCACCTAATCTTACATAGACAATAATCATAAACTGAAATGCCAGTGATTTACTGTTTACTTACAGCTGTCAACAGCTACTGTATGGAGAAGATGAACAGTTGCAAAGCAACCTGCCATTCCCTGAATGGCATCTGACTGTAAGCAATCTGTTAGTGCTTTTAGGAAAAGCCTGAAACAAATTTATAAAAGATGTCTATAAACACTGATAATAGTTAAAGATTTAAAAAATAGTAAAAAGCAAGTCCTTTATGTACACATAAGGTTGAGTTTCAGCTATTGGTATATTTCAATGTATTTTATTTCTATATATTTAGCATTTTTAAAGAAAATATATTTCACATTCAAAATAAGTTTTTTTTAGTTCTATTTGATAATTCATTCTGAAGAATAACCAAGGACGTTACAAAACTGCTAAAATAAAATTTATGAAGGACTATAAATTTTTTATTATATTATTTAACAATTACTTTTTTCTGTTGATGTGCATATACACAAATGTAAATATTTACTGGATACAGCTTTTTGATATGGTAACAAACCCATGTTTCCTTAATGTACTGTACTCAAGATTCATAACCATTTTTTGGATGATTTAACATACACACAAACACATTGTCATGTAAAAATAACAACAAAGGTTTTCTCCTCCTACAAATTTTATACACTGTACCAAAACAAAATATGAGCCTTACAAGACCTTTCCAAGTTCAAATTATCAAATTCTCAGGACTCAACACATCTCATCTTAGCACTTGATTTGCATGAAGCATGAGTATTCACCAAAACTCAAAAAATTTGCTTTTTTTAATAATTATACGTTTTTGTAAATTCTGTTTTAAAATACAAGGAATAATGAACATACATAATTTTATCTATACATATAAAAGCCACAGACTGTTTGTAACACTCCTTTGTCAGTAACACTCAACTTGCTCATAGTAACATTCAAATTGGCTCAACTATTTGTCTCAAGTTCAAATCCCACTTGAGTGAGGATTTTTTATAACATTTTTTAAATTATTAATTCAATGTTTAGATCAAGATATTACAATATTAAGAAAAACGAGAATAATATAATAGTTTATATTAAGGATTTGAATTACTTGTTAACATTTGATTACAAAGACTGTGGGTTACAATGGTTATAGCACTCAACTACCATGTAGAAGCCTTGCATTCAAGTCCCAGTAGAGTTGGGATTTTATTTGAATTTCATTATCATTATATTTTAATATATTTATTATCATATCTACAATAAGCTCTTTGAATATTCAGGAAAAATTAATACAATTATAGGTTAAGTCAGGGATAATATCATATTACACAATAAACGCCAGAGGCTGTATGTGTCAAAAACAACTTAAATATATTTTTAACCTAACAAATGGCACTACAATACATTACTATTGATGTTTTTCACCTTTGGTAAAAAATGTTTAAAAATTTAGTCAAAAAATTTATATGCATTTTTGTGAAAAAAAATCTGTTTTTCATGTGTTTCGTGATCTCCTGTAAGTGGTCTTGATTAGAATTTTAACTTGTGTATATTTTAATGTTATGTTGAATATGTTCAAATTTGCTTCTTGATAAGCCTCATAGATTGAACCATGCGAAAAAACTGGTTCTTGAAGAAATATTCCTACATGGTCTGATCCTGCAGTTTATTAATTGTGATAGCAAAGGACAAATGCACGAAGGTATAACGTGAAATACTAGAAGATAATAACCATTCTTTATACACATATTGTTGCTCTAATATAATTAATTTTTATAAAACATGTTCATAAAACATTTATTTAGATTTAATTTTCAGAAGAAAAATCAATCAGCATTTACCATCATATGAGAGCATTCAGCTAGTATAAAATATTGAGCAATTAAAAAAGTAAACACATTATGCAATATAAAAACATGCAAATATAAAATATAAAAGTTATCACTGCAATTAAACCAGAAGTTAAAGCATGTGGAAGTACTTTATTGTACTTGGTATAAATTAAGAATAATAAAATGTTTTCTATTACTCATACCATCATCTACTGAAGGACAGCCTCGTAGTTAAAAACTGAGATTGTACATTGTACAGCTAGTTAACACAAACACATATACACTTTAGTAACCATATTATAAACACACACATAGTCTATTTGCTCCTGTAATTGTGTTTTGAATATAGAAACCAAAATAATGAATGACACATTTGATAAAATAAAAAATATGATTCAAAATAAAGCTCATTCTGTTAAAATATCAGTTTCTTAGACTCAGCACTGGTTTTGACTACAGCTGTTTTATTAATAAAAATGTAGCACTGCAAGTTTGTGACAGTTTTTATTATTATCATCAAGTATTAAATGAAGTGGTCTTTCAATTGAAATGACCAAAGTCAAATATCGGCTAGTTTGACTAATGCGAGTAATGAACAATGTCTCATTTTCAGAGCCAATCACTATTTATGACAATTATCTGCTTGAAGAGAATCCAAAACTTGTGGCATATCGAGTCTTTTGATTCATGAATAGCAATTACATCTCTCTAAAGCTAATACTTCAGACTATAACCATGTCACAGTAAAGAAGATAACTGTCTTCTACAACAGTACATGCATGTTTCATCAATACCTATCCCAACATACAATGGTCTACAAAACTGTTTGTTCAGATATATATATGTACTTTAAACAATGATATATATCACGTTAAATGTACACCAAAACACACAATCAGAGGGGGGATATTGATCTGATGAAACAACTATTCCTTAAAAACTTTAACTGCAATAAATAATAATTTACAAAATATGTTGTTTTTTTTACCTAAACGAAATGGACTTGGCTGCAACAATAGACAATAGTACTCCACTGAAAGATGGAAGCTCCTCAACCTTTGAACACATCTCAAAGTCTTGGTGCTACAACGAAAGCAAAGAAGGTAGCTTTTATACTAAAGATGTTTCAATATGCAACTACATATCAGTTATTTCCATACTAGGCCATTCAAAATCCCTTAAATCCTAATATACTTAATGCTGTTAAATACTTTTATAGATCTTAATTCATTTGGAAATAGGAAGAAAACCAACAGATATCTGTTTTTAACAAATTGATGTTTTGAGTCAAGTTTGATTAGACATGACTGGCAACAAAGGTTCGAGTACATTTTGAATATTATTCACTCTTCTGGAAGAATCAAAAGCCTCAACCCAGGGTCATACATTTATCAAAACAAACGGTATGTGGGCTTTTCCAATGCTTAAGACTAAAGCCAAATTTCAAATATCTAAAACTAACATTACAACAATGCCCTTTCTTTGGCTGATGCTGAATCTAATACTTATTTCAGATGGACTGATATTGTAAAGAATACTGTTAAAGAGACAGTAAAAAAACTAGGTAGATACTAGACAATACAAATAACATAATACAAAAGATATTGCTAAACTAATGCAAGTAAAAAGCTTGTTATTTGCTCCTTTCATTTTTAAGCTTTGTTTAGTATTAAACAATAGTTATAACAATATCATTCACACTTACAATTAACAATAAATTCATGAATTTACCATTTTTAAGTTATAAAAGAAATGGAATGCTTTGGGGGAAAATAGATTAACCTACGCAATGAATACTGAGCCATAAGATAACTTTTTAATTCCAAGTAAAATCACTTAATGAATTTCCCAACATTTCTATTCACACATTTATCACAGAATCCTACAAAACATAATGGAATCTTTAAAATTACAAAGCAAATTAAGAAAACAGAAAAACTGTTTTCAATTATTTATTTCACATAGAAAAATAAAGGAATGGAAGCTAGAATGATGATGTACATGTAAATTAACCATATTTTGCTAGTGTGTGTTTTTAATAACATTCAGGTAGTAATTGAGGTAGAAAGCCCAAACTCATCACAAATGATGTTAAGTAACTCAAAGAATGCTCTTATGTGATACATGACAATGCAGTAGATATCTTGCCAATGATCTAGCTGTAAGTACAGGTATAAATGTTATCTCCATTTCAGCTTTCCAGTTTTGTTACTTCTCCCAAGCAGTGGATTTTTGCAAAATTGTTTTATACAACAAATACCATAAGTTTATCAATGTGTGATTGTGAAATATTGCTCCAAACATCCTCTATTACTCCACACAATACAGCCAAATCTTTGAATGCCATTTGATCTTCCCACTTTCATTTAAGTCCAAACAGTCTTAACAATATTCATATCACAACTTTATGCACACCGAGACAAGACTCCAAGTGTTACATCGGGTTCTTTTTCCTTTCAGTTGTTATTTCACCACATTTGCTATACGACTGATTTCACTCTCTTTCTGGAAAATGAATCCATTACTAACATGTCTTGTTCCTCAAGAAACATGGCAGATGAGAATCCATTTGCACCTTTCAGAGTCAGGGTGCCATCAATTTTGTTTAATTCTCCAGCACCAGCTGAGATATAGCCAACACTTGTATTTGTCTTCCAACATGCTTTACTGTAGATGTATGTTGATGATGATATCATTTTCCTCTCTACCATAAAACAAACTGTTATTGATTGTGGCCATATAATTTCAATTTGGATTTTTCTGTGAAAGCACCCTCCTCCAGCTTTTATTTCATAATTTGAAGCCTGATGCCAATTTTAACTTTTTTCAGTTTTATTATTTCTCCTAAGCTGTGGATTTAGAGCAGCTTAACATCCAATGAGGCCAATTCATGCTATTGTGTACCTTACAATCACAGTATAGAGCTATGTCAACTTTTGATAAATTAATAGAAATTGGAGAACGTCTTGGGTTAAAAGACATGAACCACAAGAATTTGTCTATCAACAACAAGAGCTAGAGAGAGAAGAACGGCAACAGGAAAGACAAATTGAGAAAGACTGAAGGAAAGAGAAGAAAATGAGAGAGAGAGGAGAAACTAGAAACTTAACATCATTTTGGAAGAGTTTGGGCTTTCTACCTCAACTGCTTCTTTTATGAACAATATTAATTTGATGTACTCTTTTCAGAGTTTCCATATGATTTCTATTGAAACACAAAGTAGGTGTCTCTAGTCAAAATTATAATTTCTACACATTTTTCTCCTGGAAACCATGAATGCGTATATACACCACACTACTGCTAGGAATAGTACGACTGCTTGTACTTTATGCAGGTGTGTGCTGTCTGATTGATGAGATGGCAGCCAAACCCAGTATAAACTATCAAAATTTGACTATACTCTGATGCAGTCCATTTTCATACAATAAAGATGGAACAATTCCATAACATTTCCATTTTATCCCGATTTTATTCAGTGTTTTCATAATTATTTTCAATAATGTATATTATACTTTCAGAATAGGTCCCAGTTTATATTTTTCACATTACACATGCTGGAGTATGCAAGTTAAATCATTTCATGTTTAGTAAAATGAAATTCGAGTACTGAACAAGCAGTATTCCTTTAATACTTTATTAGCAATGTGTTTATAATATGCTGATTAGTTGAGAAACAAATTTCCATACTGGCATTACAATTACATAGTACCTACTGAGTAATCTCAAAGTCTGATCAGCAGTATGAGAGAAATATTAAACATTTATTTACATATATATTTATGATAATGTCTGATAAACATAAATAACAACACAGTGGTGGTATATGACAGAGCCATGAGAAAAGCTGTGGTATTTTACCCAAAAAAAATATCAAGTATAACATTTTAAAAAAATGCTGCCAGAAACAAAAAATTTAATTTCTTAAGTTTTCTTGTAAATAACCTCAAAGATTGTATACAAAAATAAAATAAAATGTTTTATTAATTAAACTAATAAATGTAAAAGCTAATAGCCATGGAATTATCAATCTTAAAATATTTGTTTTAATCAAAATGTAATTCAAAACCAGAACTAAAATTTCAAACCATTTGTGGTGTGATTGTGTTTTTTTTTTTGGACTATAGCAGATTTTAGTATTAGAGGAGACACTGAAGTTTATTACTTAAATTCTAAAACAGTTTGACATATTTTAGAATTTGCTAAAGAGGAAGTAGGAAAGTTAGGTTAAGTTTTATGTTATTTGAGGAATATCAATGTTTGAAAAGAAAGTTGTTAGGGCCATTTCACTACATGTTGCTAGTATTAGATAATATAAGTTTCATTCTGATTTTGACTTATAGTAGAAAGTGTATGATGTATGGGTGGATTGTGACAAACTTAATGCCTCAGGTCTAACTCTGTAACCTTTCTCTAATTTAATGATTTCACCATAAATATTTTGTCAGTACAAAAACCTAATGTAAGTTTTTCATCTTTTAATTTGTGAGGTCACTTATTTATTTATATAGGTGTTTATTTATATACTTGGATTTTATGACCCACTGTACAGTGTTATGTGGAAAATTATTCATCATTTGTCTATTTTTTTAGAAGTTACCACTTCCAAAAATTTGACAATAAAATGTATTTTTTCATAGTTCTAGGCCTTAACTTAAGAAAGAGAAAACAGTTTCAAGTATTTTCAGTTTTACGGCATCTATACAAGCTTTTCAGTCCTGCCCTCTGAATGCTTCTCATACTATTAAATCATTTCTAGCAGCGTGCACTGTAAGAACAGAACAAGTATGATGGAATGACTTGTAGTCTTCTCTATGTTTTTACTGTACTATAAGCAGAAAAACAAGTTAAACTTAATTCACATCAAATGCTTCCAACCATTCCCTATTTACAGTTTGTGCTCTATGAACAACTGATGCCGTGCTTTCCTGTTTGAATTTGAAATAACTTTTTTCTTCACTAACTGTCATATGCAATATGACAGTTTTGCAATTTCATTTTGCATGGTATAGTTAGAGAAGGATGAACCCTGACATTCAAACATTCAAGAATTAACTTTTTCACAAAAAAAAGTGCACCAATACTAAACATGCACATTAAAGTAATAAAAATAATAATTTCCAAAACAGCTCAACTAAATATGATGGGGTTATAGGTGGCAACATGAGTGCCTAAAATTCTGAATAATTTATTTCCACTTTTTTTATTAGTAGCCAGATATTTTATTTTATTAATCCTGACATTGTCGGTAGTCACAGTTTTCCTAGTAGCAGATATATTTCCTTCTGACTGCCATTGTTGTTATAAACTCTGACATATCATTGAATAATCATTAAAAAAATAGTATTTCCTAAGGGTGCATCCATTGGATATGCTTTCAGTATCATCCTCTTATGAAATTCAACGATTCCTTCTCTTACTCATTCTCTTGTACACTACTGACATGACTAGAACATGGAATTTTTAGGATTAAGAAAACCACTACGTGGCACATCCCATAACCAGTCTTAGTGTTTCATAAATGTATACAACATATAGTAACACTGTAAACATTGTTTGTTTGTTTCTGGCAAAGTTACTAGGACTATATACAGTCATCTGTGATTTTGAACTGCCAACCACAGGGAAGGCAATTGGCAGGCAGCACCTACCGCCAACTCTTGGGCTACTCTTTACCATAGAATAGTGAGATTGGCTGTCATTATAACATCCCCATGGCTGAATGAGTGAACATGTTTGGTACCATATTTCCATCTCACAACCCACAGCTTGCAAGTTAAGCTCCTCAATCAGCAGGCCATGCTAGGTTCACTATGTACACACACACAGATATATATATATATATAAAAGAAACTGCAAGAAGAAATACAGAATACTCAAAATTCATATAACATACATACCTTGTTTATTGCTAGAGTAATTTCTGCTAAAATTGCAGCCATAAAGGTACTTATAACTTCAGACAGTGTATCTTGACAAACAGTCGAAGAGCCAGAGTATATTAACAATATATCAGCAAGAACTGGTTTTATCTCTGCAATGTCCTGTGGAATGCAGAATAACAATTTCAAGAACTGTTAAACAATGCACACTGAGTAAATCTTAATTACCTACAATGAAAAAATTCTAAATCTAGGAAAAAATATCTTATTCAAACTTTCCAAAGTGTAAACTTTGGATTACGGATAACATATAGAAAATTAAGAGAAACTAATCATTTCCTAAAATTCACTAATGGATGGAATTTTTAGATACAGTAATAAAGTAAGTATTAATCTTTGATTGAGGATTTACATTTTTTTCAAACATAAGCAAAATAGTTCAATGTTGTTAAATTTCAAGCCAATTGTAAAAAATTAAAAATCAGTAAGACAGCAAACCTTATTTAAGTACAAATCATGAATGAGTGACTAACTCAGATTTTTATTAAAAAAATTTTTAAAGTACAAAACTCCACATTTGTTATTATCAAGAAAACTAACCTAAATTTCTTTTTATAACCCTGAAAAAAATCACATTGACTGGTTAGATTTTTTAAGCCATCAGAAATTTAAATCACTGATGAAACTACTAAATAAACATAACTATCTTTCCATTGTAAATAATTTTTTTATAAAAATGTTAGTCAAAAAGTCTGAAACTTTAACATCTGAAGATATAATTCCAAAATTAAAAATTCTCATAAGGTTCCTTATTGTGTACAGTCACTATATTCTTTAGGATATAACTGTCTTTATAGCTACAAATTATTCCCTATGTGAAATAAAAGCAGAATGTTTATAACACAACTTGAAATTTTATATTATTAAGGCATCAATCAACTACCTGAGTATGATAATCCAGGTAGGAGTTCAAATAAAGATAAAATAATTTTCCTTGAAGATAATACAATTTTATTTGTTAGATGTATTTGATCACAAGCTACAGAAGCCCAAAATTTCCTCACGTCAGTTCCAGGCACTCCACTTTTTATCCACAGTCTAGTTTTTTGTGTAAAATGAATGTAGACAACTATTTAAGTTAATAAACTTGGGAATTATAAATTATTTGAGTGCAAACTGCTTACTCAACACAAGCTTGCTAACTTGCCTTTTCTATAATTTCTGGGTCTTCCCTTCCTTTGTTAGCCATTGTCTGTAACACTTTACCCACGAGATTAGGTACCCAGTTTTCCTGGACATTTTTATCTTCTAGTTCACCCTGTAGATGTAAGAATTCTACTGCCTGTTGGGTAACACGTAATATTGATGGAAGAATTTGATGGCCTTTGTCTATAATTATTAAGAATGCTCTGTAAAACATTTGTATAATATCTTAAACAGCATGTATAATATCTTAAAGAAGTTTTGATATTGTTTTGTTTATAAAACATAAAGAATTTTTTTATATGTATATGAAACAAATTATACAATAAGTCTCCCTATGAGCCTCACAATTGAAGAAAGTAATATGTTTATAAACAATAAAACTGATAAGATAAATGATTTTGGTTTTTGGCACATTAAAACAAAAATAATGTTGAGAAAAATTTCACATGTTCACAAGTGACAGTTGTTTCAAAAACAAAATACAACATACCTGTCTGTACACAGCATAGGCAAAAGTCAGCTAAGCAAGAACAAAAGTCCTCATCAGCTACATTAATTAATAACATGTCTCCAGCAATACTCAGCAGTACCTGAAAAAAATAATAAATAGTATTTAAAAGCTCTGTATAGATTACGATTTTGGCTTTATTTAACATGTTAGGATCAAATTAAGCTTCATCATCACCACTGAGTTTAACAATGAAATGATAGTTACTTAAAGTGTCAAGAATGTTTTTCAAATATAAAAATTTGGTAAGAAACAGCTGAAAGAGTTAACAGACTTGATTTTTTTGCAAATAAAGAAACAAAATATATATTTCTTACTAGCTGCAAAACCAATTGTCATAAACATAGTTTATGAATTATTAATCTTACCTCTAGTAAATGTAAAGTTAATGTAGATGATTCTGTGGTTTCAGTGAAACTTTTACGATTTGTGCTTTTTGACTGTTTTGGTAAGACTTGTTTTCTGTTCAACTCAGGAAGAAGTTCTTTAGTAGCCCAGTGTAGTAATTGTTCCATGGCAGAAATGGCACTGAAGTCTTCACACTTTTCCTGAAATCATTAAAGTAGCTTAGTAAACTGGTTTAACATAGACATTGTACGTTAAATCTATGGAACTTAATCAATACACATCGAAAATTAAAATCACATAAACAAAATGATCCTCACTGTAGTTCCATAATACTAAAACAACTAAGCTGTATCTTTAAAAACTCTGGCAAAGAAATTAAGACATCTTTAAGTGATCCACTATACCTTCCAATGCATTTTTTTTTTTCACATATACTGAAATTTTACTTTATTCTGTATTACATTTTTCTTATTTCTACTTGCCTTCTGTTAAAACATTTGTTTACAAAGTAATAGAAATTAAAATGTTAACTCCTGTAACATAACATATGTGAAACATAAGTTTATATTAACAGCTTCCTAAATCTATCTATCGTCTATCCATATATTACTAAAACTCTGAGATTGTTTGTGTGCTTGTCTGTAATTAAATACAACAAAAATGGCACACAATAGCACCATTTGTAATGAAATGAGAATATAAACACAACAAAACAAGTTTCATTAAATATTGAAATTAGCTTGAATTCTTCATAACCTCTGAATAGTGGGTGACCCAATGGGCCCAACTGTTACTATGGTGTATATTAGAGACCGTGTGATAAGAAATAATGAAATTACCAACTGTTACTATGGTATATATATATATTAGAGACAGTATGATAAGAAATAATTTCGGGTTACTTTTATGAAAATTTATAGCATGAGTAATTTTACATCACACTGCCGTTCGCACTCTTTACGAAACTTCTTACTTCACTTTTTTTGAAAAATGAAATGGTCTTTCCTTTTACTCCCAATCAACAATCAAATATCATTACTTGAATTCTTCATAACATGAATGGATTGAAATATTTAATTAAATTATCTCAAAATAAACCTTCATTTCGGTGCAATATTGAAATTAGCTTGAATTCTTCATAACCTCTGAATAGTAGGTGACCCAATGGGTCACGGTGGTCTAATACCACATAAAGTAGCTAAAAACTAATTATGTAAATTATCTAACTTTTTACTAATTAAAACTTTTTACATAAAATGCACTACTTTTTTAATGTATATCATAAAAAAATTAACTTTTCACAGTTACAAATAAACATTATACTTTTGAAATTGAAATAATTTCTCTTATTTTAGACAGAATGGATAAATTGTTATTTGCTTACATGATGATGAAGGATAACTGTCAGTTCACAAAACACAGCAAAAGTTTCAATGTAAAATGTAGAATTAAGTTCTTCTTGTGATTCAGAAACCAATTTTTGTTGAATCAAACCCTTGAGAAATAAAAAATCATTTCTTTAACATATAAAGGCTGCAAGAAACTAAGTTTGCACTTTAAAAAACTATTAACTGTTAAAAACAGAAGAAAAACTTGTTTTCAACAATCTTTTAAGGCCATTTTCATTGTGAAAAATAAATTGCATCATGATAATAATTGTACAACAAATAAAAAAGAATTATTTTGGAACAAAAATGGATTCCTTCAAAAAAGTTGGAATATCACACCAACTTTTACCAAAAATATGTGATACAATTAATCTATTCATAAAGCTTGATTAACAGTAAGTACAACAAGCACTGAAAAATGAATGAAATGTTTATTTAAATATACATTATGCATTTTTAACACTATTAAGCATCATGTGAAAAAAGGAATAGATGTATTTAAATAAGACCCAAATGTAACAAATTTAAAAAGTCTTAGCTACATAACCTCTTTAAACACTATATAAGTAGACTCCATTAGTTGAATGAATTGTGCATATATATTTCTATATAAAAAAAACATTTAAATAACAGATGAAAATGGAACACAGTCCTTAATTATTATCATCATACAAGCACCAAAAACTGTATCATCATAACTCTATCAAAAAAGATTTAAACCAGCTAGCTTGTAAAGTGTTTTATACAATCTAAATTATTATTCAAATTCCCATATTTAACTTTCATTTATAATCATAAATAATTTTGATAAAATCACCAATAATAATTAATGTCTTTAGCTGTACAAAGAAAACACAAAATATCTACAAAACACATCTTTTAAGTATTGACTATAACAACCAGTGAAATAATTTTTTTTTCCATTTTTAATGTACTATATAAAGCAGTGTATATGGGGAAAAATAAATGGTTTTATATCTATCATTTCTTATCTGTTCGTTATACGTTTCCACATTTCTTGATCAATCAGCACCAAATTTGATACAGGATGACATGAGGAAGGTCATGAAGGGGGTGGGGGTTCGAACCCCCATCCAATTTTGGAAAACTACTAAATCAGCACAACTTGACAGTGATACAAGATGACAGTTAGGAAGGTCATGGGGAGGGTGGGTTAGACCCCTATCTAATTTAATATTTATAAAATTCTTGAAAACGGTATGTCTTTCTTTTCAGTATTGGCACCCTTAGGTATTTTTATTGTACTTTTAATGTTTGTTATGTTAAAGAAAAAAGACGAAAGCACAATTTCCTATCCATTGTTACAAACGAGTCTTTCTTTTCACCCAACCAACAGACGGGTACTCCAGCTGGTATTAGTTATGACATTATCTCTACAATACCTTATGCAAGTTTTTAATAGCAATAATTTTTAAGTTAGGTTTTATTTTCCTTCCTCTTTCTGTCATGCATGAAATATAATAAATATATAAGGTAAAAGGGAAGAAAAAATCTGTTTCTTCTCCATTTTATAAATTTAAGTTTTGGATCTTTGATGGTAAAAAAGTAAGCTGTTACATATATTCAAGGCTGGATTTTTCAAGTTAAATTAGTAAAATAGATGTATGTTTGAATAATATGTTGTGATATTTACATAATATTTATTGAAAAAATGCTTTGTACTTTCTATTTTGTTCAATGTGTATTTGAACAAACTGAAGCACAGAGTTTTGATAATCTTAATGCATCCATTGCAATTCTTATTAGTAAATTAATTTATATCATAAGTGAAACTTGAGAAGAAGCTTCCAGTTTAATATTTCTAGGCTACAAAATTGCAATAGCTATTTCTATATTGGAAATACTACCTTTATATGTTATTCCATTTCTATATAACTTACAAAATAGTGTTACACTTAGCTGTGATTTGTATTAAAATGTGTTGCACTAATAGCATTTAATAATAATTTCCTCAGCAGTTATTTAGACCAATCAAAAATCTACTGATATTAAACTGCTGAGGTAGTAGATTACAGTTAATCATATCAAAGATATCAAAACAACAGCCCTGTAAAGCTTAATATCCTTAAAGCAGATTAATTTCATAATACATGGAAGTTAAGTATTAACCTATTTGAGGTAATAAATCATTTTACACTAAAATCTGAATTTATTTCTAAAACAAAGTATAATAATGTTAGATTATGTACATATTAAAAAATATATTCATTTTTTCCCCTAATTTATTTTTCATGTGTTGAATTCCTTGAAATATTGTGTACACAGAGTAGAGTACCTTTAAGTTAAAATTAAATGTCTTAAAAACATGATGTATCTATACTAAGTTCTTCAAAGTCTTGTGTACATAGAATATTTTGATATTTCAAACTTTAAAAGAAAATAAAGACAATGCACCTGTATAGACTGTAGAACTTCTTGGAGGTCCTTAAGAAGTAATCCATGGTTTTGAAGTAGAATCCCACGACATACTGGGTGATGTAGCATGTAAGAGAGAAAATGTACTCCCAACAGAGGTTTTGATGGGTGAGGGTCCACAAACTTCACTTTCCTGGTAGCTCGCTTACTCTAAAGACAAAGTAGTACATATATTTGTTTACTAAAATTTAAAACTCTGGGAATTCAAGACAAGACTTCTCTAATTAACTTAGCCATGTTTTGTCAATAATTACAATTCCTCAAAATTACATTTAACAACAACCTTTTTAAAATACAAAGAAAAGACTGATCTAAATGTATAACACAAATGTTTTGACAAAGACTGTCCAATTATTTAAATAATATATATTAGTTTATAACACATTCCATAAAAGCTGAAGTGTGATAAACTGTACTTAACGTAAGATATATGTATCCACTGTATTCAACATGATCCCTACATAGTTGATAAATTTAAATAATAATACAATTTTACTGGAAATTACACGTAACCGTATTGACTCAGAGTCTTGTTACCTACACATAAGGTTATTTATATAAGCCTTTATGCTAAACTATTGTGTATTTGCAGTGGTATTTTAATATGTTTTAGTGTAAATGAAGTTTGTTTTTTTAATTATCTTAGGGAACTCATTTATAACTTCAATAGCCTCTGCCTTTGGTAATGCAACTTTTACCACTTTTGTCACTTCAAAGTCCTGGAAATTGTTACTGTTTAAATATTTTGACAAAACTGATCTGTATAATCAAGAAGTGTTATTTCCTTGTTGGTTTACACAAAAGCACCATTTCGTATGCAGTATGTTCATTAGGGCTATATTTGAAGCCACACCACTGAGCTCATACATGCTTTTATGTAAAATACTAGTAATCTCTAAACCTAAGTAGGTAGTTAATCTGCCGTAACATTTCATGTTGTCTCAAGCATTTGGCACTGACCAATCAAAAATCTACTGATATTAAACTGTATATTTCTATAAAAGTTTCCATAAACTCTAGTTATCTAAAACCATAGAAAAGTTTACAAATAGTGTAATTGTTTTCAAATGAATTGGGAACCTTTTAAATAGTACAAAATTTATTCTAAAAGTAATATATTCTAATAACATGGGAATTGTCACATAATATTAACCTAAAAAAATAAATAAAAACATACATAGAGAATAACACAGATACACATTTAATGCTGTTGGTGATATACAGGAGCTTTTGCTGCTTTCTTCTTTTTACATTACTATTACAATGAAATATGTCAACTGTATACCAACACAGCATCAACTATGGTATTTGGCAATTTCAACATAAACAGCACCTTATACTGCACATAAGATAATTATAGGGTCAGACACCTAAGTTTCAGGTAAAATCATCCCTAATTTACACCTGCTGATTGAATGGAGAAAACCAATTAGTAGTACCTGCTCTCTAGGTAGATACTGTTTTAACAGGATTAAGTGTCACAGTTATAAATTTGCCACAATCAATCCACAACTGGCATGCTAACACAAGGCCACATATGACCCACCATTAGAATTTAAATACATGTATCTGGTGTCATAAAAGATAAAGGACATATACTGTACAAATGCAAGCCAACTTATTACCTTCTTTCTTGATGTATCATGATTGAGGCCAAAAGTTAACCACTCTGATACAAGCTCTAGCACATCTGAACCCCGGCCATGATTACAAAGACTTTCAAGAATAGTGTGGTATGATTTAGATTCCGAATCTTCAGCCAATGAGCGAAGGCGAGACATACAACAACCTGCAAAAGTCGGTACTGAAGAGGATGGTAAAAAACTTGCCAAATATACTAAAGAGTCCCATGCTTGACTATCCTGCAAGGAACAAAACTTTGTGTAATAATTAAAGAATTCAGCACTTTTTTTTCACTATTTAACTCATAACACAGATGCAACATTCAATGAACACACACAATAGATTATTCAGTTTAGCCTCAACATAAATACAGTATAGTTGATGAAAGATTTTGTTCAACAAAAATCAACCTGGACTAAAACCTATTTATTGCATTTTAATACTTCCCCCCCCCCACACACACACATTTAGTTCTGGGGAAAAGAATTTAAAAAGCACACAAGAAAACTACAAACCTGATTTTTATGTACTTAACTGAACAACATATTGATTTCAAGTACACATTTTTTCACTACAAAATACAGTGTTCTTTCATTATGATACATTTTTTTATGTAACACAATCAAATGGTTAAAAATTCCTACATAACATACCATGTTTAATCTTTAAAAAATCAAGTAATTTTTTATCAGTAAATGGATATTCAAATTTTATTTAATGAGTTCTTTGATTTAAATTAATTGACTGAAATTTCACTACAGACAGGAAGCAAGAGTTCATGAACATGTTAATCATTAATTTTACAATTAATAGTTTAAGGACATATCATTCAATAAAAATAACTCCACGTCTTAAGATTGGGTTAATTTACATAAACTACAAGCATTTTTGTAACTGATGAAAGAACATACTTTAATTATTTTATTTTATTATGCTTATACATAATTGTTTAAAACTTACTTAATTTCAACAACATAGTTTAGGTTTTCCAAAGAACCAATTTAAATTATGTATTAATTAAAGCAGTAAAAGCAGACTCACCTTAAAGAATCTAAGGAAAATGGTTACACTCGCTGTGAAGGCTTTCACTAGCCGTTTTAGCTTCTCTGAATGAACAGCCTACATGAAAAACAATTGAAATTGAAGAAAAATATTCTTTATCTAAAATATGATGATTCTCATTTAAAATAGTGATTTTTATACATGATAAAGCACAAAAAGATATTTTAAGTTTTAATTACAATAACTTTATGTATATTTTTTTTCAAATACAAAATTCTGTCTCAGAAAATAGATATTCATACACTTAAAAGTTAACAGAAATATGAATTAAAATATCAAAAAATATGAATTACTTCCATTGAAATTCCAAGATGTATATTAATTATGAATATATTTCAATGTGAAACATGCTTACAGAAAATAAATACAAACATCTAAAGTAGTCAAGAATTTCTTTCATGTAATATCAAGTCTCACCAGCACAGAGATCAATGTCAAGAAGTACACCCAATGAAGGTTTATTTGATTATATAGGAAATGTTTTAAAAATAGCAAAGTGCATCGTTTTATGGAATTTTATATTATGTCAGATGGAATTTTTCTCACTTTCTATTTAACTCAACTATGCTAATGTCTTAGACATACAACTTTCACAAATATACACTTAAACAGGCCAAATGTACAAAACCTCAATGAAATTGCAGTGAGAAACTTTACAGATAAGTGGTGAAACAGGACTGCTTTGATTACAGTTTCTCTTTAACCCTTCTAATACTGGCGGGTGGATTCAATGTCAAGAAGTACATCCAATGAAGGTTTATTTGATTATACAGGAAATGTTTTAAAAATAGCAATGTGCACCCAACCCGTATTCCAAAAGTAACTATAAGGCAATTATACTGTAACTTTTTAAAGTGTATACGTATCCTCACGAAATTTTGTAGATTATCAGTACACATTATAAGGTATTCATGCACAAAGTATCATATTTTTTAAATTAAGTTTTAACATTTTTAAATTAATTATATGCTCATGCATTTTTTATTTTCGAATACTGGCTATCCAACATGTGAAGTAAATTTGATTTTAAGATTAAAAATACTTTTATGCATCAGAAAATCATCAAATTTCACATGCAAAATCCCCAAAACCTCCTAATATTCTCCAGATAATTATCAAGTAGTTTTTTTTTAGAAAACAACTTTATATTTTATCTGTTATTTTCAGTATTGTATCTTTGTATGGGTTTGGTCGATTCTACCGACCTTGTAACCACCATAAAAAAAATAGGAAATAGATATAAATTTAACTTTTTCCTTTCTAGAATTACTACAATTTATAACACAGAACTACAAATGTTTAGTCTAAATAGCTTAAATCTCGTAACATTTTACCTATATAAAAATTTATTATTTTATTGACCTTTCAACAGTGTCTAACTAATGTTACAGAAGTTGAATGATGCAATGCACATGCACTCATGTTACCATATCCAATAATACAGAACTAAATGTAACTAAAAAACATACTTTCACAAAAATTCATATTAAACAGGAATTTTAAAAAAAGTTCTTAACTGGACACATGGTTCCAGTTTCAAACTTTTAAAACAATCCAGTCTCCTGCAGTTATACAAGTAAGATTTTAGATAAAATTAATTAATTTTAAAATTCAAAATGTGCTTAGCAGCCTTTCCTCCTATTAATATTGTACTTTCTATATTTCACATATGTAAATGTCATCTAAATATTTAAGACACTAAAGCCAATGTTAGGTCACTTATGATTTTTAAATCTGTAAAGCCACCTTATGGTCAATTATGTTATATATATAAAAGGCATGGTTTCTGTAGTCTTCTATGAATACATAAATGGACATTAAATGTTGCAGTTGACTATTGAAAAATGTGCCTCCTTGTCTATCAGAACTTCTTGTGTACATTGCATAATTTATAGCAGTTCATGTACAAATTGTAAAAACATAAGGCTGGAGATGAAATGTAGGAATTCAAATCTGTACATGTATATGAGAAATCATGGTTAAGTATCCTTTAAAGATTGAAGGTTTGCTTTCCAAGAGTTTTAGCAAAATGTAATTCATCTACTTTTTTATTCTTTGCATTTTCTAAGGAAAATGAAAGTATTTAGCTGTTCTATTTCACACTTTGAACAGATGTTATACCATATATGTTCTTAACAAAAATATTTACCTTTAAATATTTTAACTGAAGTTTTTGTAAATAATAGTTATAAAAATATATTTTAATTGCTTCAAGAAAGAAACTTTTAATTAAACAGGACTTAACTTTTAACTAATGATTACTTTAATCAAGATATTTTATATGCTAATAACACAAACTTGTCAGTCTGCCTTACCTAATAATTTCTTTTCCCATGAAATTATTCAGTCTTTATCATACATAATAACTATTTCAGTATAATCAAATGTAAACAACATCACTGTTGTTTTTAAAATTATATACCTGGTGTTTCATCAAGTACACTGAGTAACACTTATTTAGCTGTTATGTAAGTATTATAACAATTACTGATAAGCCAGGTTGTGCATAAAAAAATATCAATTTACACTAACAAGGCACATTTCTGAAACAAACTACAACTTTACTGATATGCTAATATAAATCTTAAGAAAAATCTGACATCTCTTGATCATGTACATTTGGAAGTAGATATTTTTAAGAACATTTATTAGAAAAAAATGATTGTAATGATTGGGAGATTACATTCCCTCTTTTTTATTGTAAGTTCAACAAAATAATGATATATCCAACCTTCTCCTCAGACATTTCTTAAACATGAAGAAAAAAAAGGAATAATTACTTGTTGTAGTTTGCTTCCTGTTCCATGCCATAAAATGCATATTGCATCTATAAATCCACAAACAATCTCTGGGTCATCAAAAGGAAATTCATCTTCATTTTTACTGCCATCTGGAGAATCACAATTTTCAAGAATATCATCTTGGTTTTCCTTATTTTCTGTGTCTAATATGTTGCCTTCTATGCTCAGTTCTGATGAATCATTTGGTACGGTTTTTGTTTTTTTTTGACGTAAGCATACAAAGCTTTATTTACCAGCAACATAAAGTTAACTGAAATAATAAAAGTTGTAGATTAATGAAAGTAATCACTACATTAAATCTCGTTATACAAGTTAGATAATTATAATCTGTTAGAATGATGAAATAACACAATGTTGTCATATAAAGTTCTGTCTTGCACATTTTTCTATACGTATAACATACCAAAAGAAGTATCTTACTTACATCAATTCAGGAAAAAATACATTCACTTGATCTTTATTCCTATATATCCTTAAGTTATTAAACGTACTAAAAGATGGTAATGATTGCATCTAACATTCACAAGTCTGGTATCCACACAACTTCTAAAGAAGAATTTTATGGGTATTCTTATAAAAAAAAACATTCTTCCTAAGCAAGCTATCATCAAAAAACCAGGAAAACCAACGTAAGAATTTTTAAGATTTTACTACCTAATTAAAAGATAATTCTAACTGTATAAACTTAAAAAATATTTTTAAAACAAATAACATTAGTGCACACAATAAATGTGCTTACCAATTGTTTCAACACCAAGCTGCTCATTCAGGCACTGAAAAAACACACGAGATGCACTACGGTTACTCTCAATGAGGGTCACACATCTTTCTAATTGAACGTGACCTGGTCTATTTTCTGGCAAGAAACTGTACTGTACTAGCTTTACCAAGCGACGTGCAACAGATAAACTGCTTGTTTCCATAGAAGAAAGAATGTGGTCCACAGGAACAACATGCCAAAACTGAAAAATTAAGACAATTGTACCATATCTGGCTATATACATACAATACTGTTTTCTCAAAAATTGTATAAAGTTTTCACCCTCTTAAAATCTTTTAAGATGAGTCTGATACTATGTTTGAGAGATTATGATTTGAAAATTACTTAATTAAAAAAAACTGTTATAAGCATCTGAAAATGGAAAAGTTTCATGGAAAAAATAAAAAGGAAAAATTAACTGATAACATAGACAAAACATATCAAAGCTAGCCAAGCTCAGGAAATGACAGCAATATTATCCTCAAAATTTTCTCTCTGTTGAATTGGATTGGAGAATATTAAAAAATCTGAATATCAAAACATGACATCAAACGTTTTAAAATAAAAGTTCTGAAAATAGCATTTGTGAAATTACTTCAGGCTTAGTAAAATGAAATGTCAGAAATTCAGAGTTTTCTCTCTACAGGCTTATGAACACAAAGCAGAGTAAGAAAAACTCTTCAAACCATGGCTAAGATATAATAAAATTCAGTGAAACCTTACACAGAAGAATTATAACTGAATAGACAAAACAGCTATGCTTGGGTGAAAGTACTCAGACTGCCCTATTTTCCTAGGTATGACTGAAGAGAAGGAGATGTTCCGAATGTTGAAGTACTGTGTGGTTGTTTTGATTTCATTGTAATTGGGTAATCTGCCCAGAGATTTCACATTTTCATATATTCTGAATTAAATCAGATTGTTTTTGTAAATTAAGTTTCGTTTTGTACAGCAGTGACAGAAGTCATTCCAAAATATATTGATATATATGTATATACCTTTTATACATTAAATGTTTATTTTTGTAATAATGTAGAAGAATTCATGGGAATGAATATGGATATGTATATATTTGCAATGTGTACTAATTCTGATATTATAGTAAACTAAGAAATTGAGCCTGAGGCTAGTACATCAAAGAAACATTTACATCTATGCTATCTATGAAACAATGGTGGATCACTTGTCTGAACCACTAAGTCACTGAATTCCACAAAAATATTACCCTTTTGGATGCTTCATTCAAGGTCTTTTATTCATGAGCCTAAAATGGCTGTATTATGTTTTTACAGCTTCTCCATTTCTTTTCAATAAATGCAAATATGAATGAAACCATAACAATGATTGACGATGATTTATCATAAAGGTTTAAACTTGAAAATAAAGTCAAAATTTAGGGAATGTCATTCACCTGTTAGTAATGTTAATAACTTAAGCTATAAACATTTTTAGTCTTAAATTTTTGCTGAGGTATGTTCTTTTTTCATCTTTTACCTTACAGATGGCCAAAATAACCCAATAAACATTCTCAGAAGCAAATTAATTAAACCTAAATCCACTACCATTTTTAATATGCTGTTTTCCATTATCACATGTAATTTTGCTTTCAAAAAAAGATAAAGGTAATATTCAGCTATAGAAAAGCAACTAATATAAAATATTTTTTATAAAAGATACATCCAAATATCATTAAATGGTCAAAATAATTGATCTTTATTTATACCATAACTAACTATATAAATATACATTCATTGTCCACATCTTAGAAACCTAACATTGTTTAAAAATTACAGGTATCATGAAAACTGTCCCAAACTGCTGATCTTAATACATGAAAAATGACAGAGTTAATAAAAGCCAACCTTTATACTTCTTAATCCCTTGACTTTCAATAAGAGATCACAAAAGGCAACCTGAACTTTTTCAGACGTGTCAAACAAAGTTTCTTGAAGTTTTGGCAGGATGACCTTCATAGTCGGATGAGTCAAAGGATTCTCCATTAAAAGGCTAAAACCCTATATCAAGAAAAGTTGAAAATAATAGTCATAAGAAAAATCACCATAACAATAGTCAACATTTTGAGAAAATTACATACATGTATCTACATTACTGCAACTTATGAAAATAAATACTTGTGTCAAAGAATTATCATCCACCATCACAAACCCTTGTAATAAGAGACTAATATGATTACAAAAAATATAATTCTATGGTTAAAATTTTGTTGTTGTTGTTAAGCATAAAATTACACAATGGGTTATCTGTGCTCTGCCCACCACAGGTACTGAAACCAGATTTTAGCATCAGAAACCAGCAGACTTACTGCTGAATCTGTCGGGGCCTGTGGTTAAAGAAACTAAATTTCTATCAATGTAAGCTTAAACACATATCCAAAAGCAAGTACATTTTCCTATATGAAAATGCTTTAAAATAATAGAGCAATATTTCTTCATAAAGAATGATACAAATCTTTATGAAAGTGCCTGTACTGGCAGAAATCAAAATTAATACAAAAGATTTAAATTTAATCATGTATCAAACATCATCTTTATTGTTACGAAGTTGTTTTGTACAATGATATAACAAATTATCATAAATATGCTTTAACATCTTAATTTGAAAATTAAATTCTTTCAGCAGAATGAAACATTATTAAAAATAAAGATTTTTTTTACAGACACCCTAAAACACATTTTATTTTCTATCTTTGGGAGTCTTCAAAATAAGATTTTTAGCCTCTTTAGCTATTGAAATGATAGTTACTGCACACTTACCAACAATGTTAGCCAATCAGAAAATGAGCCATCTAAAAACTGAAATCATCATCTAGACAATCTTGTTAAAGAAACATACAAATTTAAGTAAGGTTTAACTGGATAGAACTTCTTAAAGGTAATGGATGGAATATTTTATGCTCTGCTACATACAAGTACTCGTATGAGATAACTGGTGAACTGGACTTTATGACTTTACTACAGAAATGAAAAGAAGTTCTATATGGCTGTAATTTTGTCTGTGAAAATCTGTTAAAGCTTTCCAATAGCTCTAGAGAGATCATCAAAAGACAAACACTGTCTTGGTGGCTTTGAAAAATATGCCTCAGTAAAACAGGTATGTACATGTTTTGTAAGAAGTCACATACTTCTACATATCACTAGAACACTTTTGTCGGGGCCTACCATACCTTGTCAAGCATCTAGTTCAGTGAGAAATTATACTCTTCTCCAAACACTTATCTGAAAACATCTTGACACCAATCTCAATATAAACAAATTGTAGACTGTAGAATTAAAAAATATATATGAATTAATCCAAGAATGCAATCAAAAGAAATGTTGAAAATAAAAAGCTAGCTAAAGTGGAACAACAGTAACCAGACTTACAACTCTCTTAAGGTAGTCAAATGCTTCACTGTCTACTTCATAATGTTCATGAATAGATTTCCACTATCCCTATATAATATCTAGTGAAATTACAGCCAACAGAATATGCTTGGAGAAGTAATTAAACAAAAAAGATCTGATATGTGCAGTTTCCTATGTGTACAAATACTTTGTTTCCTGGTATTGTAGATGATAGTGAAAACTACATATTGACAATTATAGTAATTATATTCCTCCATTATCTTTAAATACTTTCACAACTCTTTTAATTTTTCAAGTATGCAGCTTCATAACAAAATGATAGAGATAAAACATTAAAAGATTAGGTTAGAGTAACTAAGTTGATCAGGTAGAACATCTAGTTTACTTGGGATGATTTGAAGAAACACAAAATATCAGAACACATGATTTAATAGTCAACCCTCAGATTTAATTTGAAGCAATAATTACTGACCTTGAATACAGAACTCCTCACTTCAGCAGAAGTCACATCATGTGCCAAGTCTTCTACCAGTTTCTTTAGAAATGCTTGAATTATCTATAGGGGGTTATAAAAAAAAAATACTAGCTAAAAATTAATTTCAGAGAAAATAGACATTTTTGACATGAAACAATCTAATCAGAAAAAAGTAAAATGTGTTAAGTGGAAAGATCCAACAAATTTGAAAAATTTTAAAGCTGTTATTTTTAACACACATTTTTAACAAACTTTCAATACCCAATAAAGTGAAATCTATCTTGATTGTGTTATTAAACTGACCCCAGTATCTAATGGATTGATTTTTTCCCAACCTTTTGTACTGTAGTATCCAAATACTACATATCTTATTCTCATATAATATATATTATTTATTTATTTACATGCTCAAAATGTGTTTAAAGAAAATTATTATTATTATAAAATATTACAAATTGTAATTTCTTAATGTTTTTATACTTTTACTGGAAATGGTTAAAAGAAAGCTGTTATATTTTTTTCCCTTTTATCCTAATAGGTTACTGGATAATTCTCATTAGAAAAAAAGATGTTCATTGTATTTTATTATCAGGTTGTATTCGCTGGTTTAAAATATAGAAAATACTAGATCTCAGTATTAACCCTTTCACTGCAGCTGGGACAATATATGTCCCAACTGTAGAGAATTCATTAATGGTCCAACCTGAAGCAAAATGTAAAAAAAAGCTGTTTATCAAGCTTCAAGGATATGAAGGAAAAAATAATAACTAATGTTACACCACCACCACAACAGAACAAGTGTTAAAAATGTGTATCATTCAGTTATAAATTAGATATTAAACTATTAGGAATAGTATATATATATATATATATTTCTAGTATTTAATTTACTCTCACTCTGAACACAGTAGTACCCTGTGTGTAACTTCAGAAAATGTAATTAAGTTACTTATTCTTATCATGCCACATTAATTATACTACACAGTACTAAAAACTGTACCTGATTAGGAATCATCTCAAAATGATGACAAAGGACTCCACAAACTCCATAGCTTGCAATGGTACGAACTAATGGAAATGGATCATCCAAAAGATCCTAAAATAATTCCCAGATATTAACTACTACACAAAATGAAACAAAACTTTAGAGAGAGCAAACAATGGCCATATGAATTTGTTATCATACTGATAAAGAAGTCATTGGAGAGAAATGATTCCCACTAAACATTAGAAAACCTACATGTACAATGACAGATTTTGATTAGTTATTACTAGCAGTTCTTAACACAGTTTGAAAAATAAGATCTATATTTCACTGAAACCAGTTAAGCAGTTTCTGATAATACTGATAAAGGATGCAACTTTTTGTTTAGTAAATTTCTCTTTTTTAACATTCAACTATTAGAATTACATCTTTATGGATAACTATTTGCTTTAATAATCAATTTACACAGACTAATAGCTTTTTCAGGTGTCATAGAAAATTATATAATATTTTTACAAGAATAGCTAGTTAAGCTGAAAGTTGTTATGCATGTATACACACCAACGACGATTTGGCATAAATGATATTTTTATCATAAACTGCATCAGAAACAAGTTTCATTCACTCAGTTGTTGAAACACGTAATATGCATAGTGACAATATAAAAACATAGCAACAGCATAGTCAAAATATTTGAAATATAAATGCAAAACACTGGTAGAATATCATACACATTTTGGTCACAGAGCCTTTGTACTGTCATATCATATGCAAGTATTAAAGTTATTAAAGTCCTAACATACAAGTGATAAGTGAAACAATTCACAGTTCATATATCACAAAATATATCAGTTTCAGTCACAGGAAAAATGAAACCATTTTGAGAAAATATACTTGTAAGTTTTTATTGAGCTTATTGAAAGTTAACTAAAAACAAAATCTGTTATAATTTTTCACATTAAAAGCTGTCATAATGATTCATTTTTATCCAATCTTTTGCTCTACTGGTTACTTTACAAGTTATAGCATTTGAACTACAATACTTACATTGATGACATCGAATTGTTTTTGTAGCATAACATCAGCTTCTTCAATATTGCCTTCAGGATTCTCCAAGGGGAAAACGTCAAAAAATATTGTAGCAGCATTTGCACGTACATGACCATTTGCTACCTAATACAGAAGATATTTACAGAGTCTGAATCTCAACATTGAAGTAATATTCTTCAAACTTTCTAAATCAGAATTTTTTATAAACTATATATTGCAAAAATAAAGCATATATAATGATAAGATGTAACACAATAGTATACATTAGCCATTTCAATTCCACAACAAGAACAGATAACTTCCAACTAGCAAAACATGACAAAAAAAGAAAAAAATCAATATATTATAACATACCACTATCTATCACCATTGACAATACTAAACTTAAAGATACCATACTGAATGATAACGTATCACTTACTAAAAAATAATACTTTTAAGACTATCCTTATTCCTAGTATATTGAAACAACTAGCTCTCAACACTTTGATAACTCTTGAAATAAATATTTGTACTAAATGTTGAAAAAAAGACAGCAAGGTACTAAATATATTACATGCCAGGCCACTTGTACTTCAGCTTACATTAAATACTATACTTATTGCAGTTGTAGCACTGCAGTTTATGTAGCTCAAAATCACAGCAGACAAGGAAGCCAATTCAAAGGAAATCTAAACGTTTAAATCATACAAGGCCAACACCATTAAATAAATAAAGAGCAACAGTTTTGAGTAAATATCTATTAAAGAAACCATGAATGTATGATTGTCTAAGATATACATCAACAGAAAAATTCAATTTATTAAAAACTGAGCATACCATTAAAAGAAAAAAAAGAGAGAGCAATTACTTTGAGTAAATGATTTTTCATATTTTCAAGTAAGTATATTAATAAAAATGCTACAAAAATTTATTTCTCATTTTACAAGTACTGACATGCAAACACTATTCTATAATTCTGTGATGTGCGATAAAAGGGGGGAGTTTGAATATTTTACAAAATATAAAAATTTGTAGCTGGAAACAAGAAAACACAGAAATTGTATCTTAACAGCAACTACAGAGTTCAACTGGAGTGTCAAAAAAAACAACTTTAAAATATATTATTTATCATCTTTAAATGCCTTGAAAGCAAAATTAATTGTATCAATTATCTCTATCACTATAAGTTTTCCTTTGGTCAGGGGTCAAACGGCATGTCATCATGTTTGTAGACTTACATTACAATTTTAATGAACTACTATTTTACGAATGTATGTCAGTAAGTTTGGTATCAAATTGTAGATTATAATTCAAATTTTAGTATTATACATTAGTTAATTTTTTAATTCAAAGGTAAATATTAAAACAAAAATCCTAAATATTAATTTTTTGTGTGTCATGTAGTATACGTTGAATGCAACTTTGGTTCAAATTAGATGTTTGTGATGTCCATGTACAATCTATAGTTTCTTACTAATTAGAAACTGAAACTACCGATATTGAAAAACTAGAATAAAAAATAATAATCTTCTGTCTTTTCTATTTGCTGAGATATCACTATATTAAGGAAATCAAACACAGCGGCCCCACCCACCTCTTCCATTGTTCGAAATACTTCCTTACATACAACTGCTTTGCTTTATCATGTGCTTATAACCATGAAAAGCTCAGAATTTCCCCCACCTGATTTTCTCAGCCTCTTGAAGATGGGATGTTCCCAAGATTATTTCTTTTTTTTGTTTTACATCCTCCACATGTAAAATTCTTAGCCCAGTTGGATTCTTTTTTCTTTTTCTTAAGTGGTTTATGTTACATCAAAATATGATTTTTGACAATTCTGCATGAGTTAGTAACTTGAATAAAGGTATATCTTCAATTACTTAAATAGAGATAATAATAAATACCATATCAGTTTTTGTCCATGAAAATTGATTATATGTGTATATATATACACACACACATAGTACTGTCGTATCCAAGTTGGCTTGATGAGCTCTGATATTGTGTCCAAGGCCTCATTGGCATGGATATGTAAAGTATATGTAGTGTGGTTGACATATTATAACATATTCTTCTTTGTTTTCACTCATGATTCTTAAAATCACCAAATCTCCCATATTTATTGTTTATTTATTAAATGATTCAATGTTGCTGCAAACTAGAATATGGTTCTTCGTCCTTCCTTTTCAAGTATTTCATTTGGATAATGCTGACTACAGATTTCAGCTACTATGCTATACTTTGCAGTGGTGATTTTTTGTTTTCAACATTCTACATTTGTCATTTTCATAACAGCTTTACCCTACTAAAAACTTCTTCACCAGCATAAATAATAGAGATCATTGTTTTCTATTTCTTTATTTACTGTTCTATGTTTTTAGCAAATTAACTAAAATTTAAGAACTTACTTGTAAATAGTAATAATACATATATATATATATATATATATATATATATATAT